CCCTCCCCCCCTCCCCCCCCCCCCCCCCCCCCCCCGACCTATACGACTGTCTCTGCCTCTTTGGTGCAGCAGCGAGGATGAGAACCGATATTCCGCCCTGAGATGTTCTCGTGTTTGGCGTTATTTGGCCCAAAATTAGTGCTGGGTGTGAAAACGTGAGCCATAGTAGGAAGGCGAGGTCGTTGTGTGGTTTCGTTTGCCTTGAGGATGTGGTACACGGTATGCATCTGTGCTCCGTGCTGCTGCGGACGCTTTGCTCGACTACACCCACAAACGAACGTGGATTGGCTCATCATCGGTTTCGCAGCAGCACAAAACTAGAGAGAGCTGGAGTTTCAGACAAACATCGCACTACAGCAGTATTTGTGCAGACCAATCAACAAGCATGCCGGGTCGGCACACCCATCCCTTCCTGTGGCTCGCAGGTCGAAGCGCAAAAAAAATGCCGGGCACCCTGCCAACCACAGCAGTGTTCGAGCATTTCCATATTTTGTGGAGAAAAAAGAATGATAACCGGCGTTTCGCACATCTCCGTGCTCTGCGCGTATGCCCACGCACTGGCAAAATGAAACGTCTCGCACAACCAGAGCTTACGAGATGCTAGGACGGAGCAGGAAAACTCGCCGCATTTTCCCGCGGGAGCAGATACTCGTGCGGCAAGATGTTCCCATCTTCCTCCCACTACAGCAAGACAATTTGGTTGGGGCTCGAGAACGAACACAGCGGCATTTTGCACAGAACGCGGTCCCGACCACCAGACAGATTCTCACAGGCACGAAAACAAAAAAAAACACGGCGGTGGTTATCTTTTCAAAGCTCTCTAGCTCATCCTGTAAAAATCTTCACCCTGATAGAGAGGAGACCGGGAGGGGGGGGGGTTCGTAAGCTTCTTCAAAAGCCCCTTCCCACCCACCCCTCTGTTTTCTTCCGAAACGCGGTATCCCGTTGTTTGGCATGCCACACTTGTGTGGGCACCACCACAACGAACCTCAAAAACGCAGCCAATCCTTGGGAAAATCCTTCGTCCTCCGACCAAAAAGAAGCATCACCTACGTAGCTCTTTTCTTGCTGAGTCCCGGACAACAGCTTTTTGGTGTTCTTCGAAATACTCTGGCTTAGAAGTACTCTGGCTTCTTAGAGCATTCTCGCATCTGAGCAGCACTCTCGCTTCTTAGAAGTACTCTCGTTTCCGGCCCTCCTTAGCGTCCTTGGTCTCCATACCGGCCTTGATGTTCCCGTACACTACCACGGGGAACACGACGATGGCCATGAGGAGTCCGAGGGAGACCTTGGGCGTAAACGTGAACGTCTTCTCCGAAATTTCTCGCTTACCCATCCACTCCTGTGCGTCCCGCCCATTGGTTGGACCAACCGCATTGGATCCAGTTGGGGTGGCAAGCCAGCAGCGGGCAGGGTTCAGGGGGGATACCGCAAGGGTCGCGGGCCTGTGTTCAGTACACGATCGTTCAACACTACCATGGTTTACTGGAGTAGCCAACTTTGTCGGGCACATGGCGTGTCTCGACCTAGCACCAGCGAAAGCCACCACAAGAGCAATATCGTAGATGTCGTAGATGCTGTACTGTACGCGTTTCCGCAACACTGGTGATGTAGGTGCCTGAATCTCGAGAGAACCATCACGCCGCTTAAACAATACAAAAAAAAACTTGGCTAGCACGCATTTGCCGGCCTGCTGTGATGGGCTCAAGTCGGGCCCGCATTTGTTGCTGCGGCGTTCGGTTAGTCAGGGACATGACGTACACATCGCCGTCGTTGAGCTTGAGTTGACTCGGTGGTGCATGCTACACTACATGCACAACTTGCACACAGCACACGGGCGGCAGTACGGCTACGTGCCGTCTAGAGCATGGCGAGGATGTGTTGGCTGTTGGTGTACCGTAGTCGTAACACAAAAAAAACGTACACGTGGTACTGTAACATGGCAAATGCTGTCCGTTGGTTGTTTGCCACAAAGCGTGCTCCAGCAGAAACATACGTCGTCGCCTGCCTGTGCCATAGACACAAGCAGGCGATCCTTTGCCGAGACCTGTATGCCTGCATCAATTCTGGAGGACGTGATCTGTGTTTTTGTTTTGCTGCATGGTGATCCGAAGGAAATCGGTGATCTGCTTTGTTTGTGTTTGCTCCACCGTGACTTGACAGACATAGGTGAGTTATTGTAGCTCATGATCTGTCCTATGCACACGTGTGTGTCCACAACTCCAGCATTGTCTCCTCTGGCCGTCAGGGTATTCTTCAAAGGCAAGAAAGAGTAAGACTACCAGTCGTCCCACTGCTGCTGTAGTAATAGTAGCCGCTGCAAGTGGACCACGTGTTGTATGACACGGCTCTATCGCTGTCGCCATGTGATGAGATCTTGGCGGCCGCCAGCGTGTGCTGGGATGGTGTGCTGAAGACAGCGAAATGCATGGGCACCTGTACCTTGGAGTAGGATGGGACGCAGCTCTGTTCCTACCTACAGCAGCCGCCCTCACCGACCGGCGATTTTTTGGGAATAACGAATAACGGCCCAATTGCAAGAAGCCTAGGAAAATGGTCAGGTTGATATTACCAAGTACAGGTTCCAACAACGTTCATTTGGAGTGGTACTTGTTCGCGTTTCTACATAATATCACCTCCACCTCGACTACTGCTGTATGCATACATCTCCCAGGCTCAGATCCCATACATAGGGGTACAACAAAAAATAATTAAATTATTTCGCGCGAAGCGCGAAAAAGAACGGGCGGAGAAAGAGACGCAGGCGCAATAGATATGGATGGAGCCTCACAGAGAGGCCACACCACTGCTACTGCACACGCTCACACCTCACCCAACACCACCAGTCAGCCGTGTACGCAGACTGCTGCTGTTTTAGCAGCGCGGGGAAGAGTGAAAGTATTGTGTGGTGTGGACGAAGCTTTCATGAATCATCATCATCATCAGCTGCTGCTGCTGCTGCTGCTGCTGCTGCTGTCGCTGTGTGGATGATGTTCACCACTTACGCTCGTAGCAGCGGCAACGGGCCCTTAAAATCGCCCCCGACGCCCTCTATGTGTGTATGTATTTGGTCGCCTTGGCCTGCAGCGTGTGTACGTCTCATTGTCTCTCTGTTTTTGCGCGGGTCTGTTGTGGATGGAGAGAAGATAGATCCGCCCAGCGAAGATCGCCGCAGATTGATTGACTTGTGTGCACTTGCTTCACTCGCTTGTACGCTCTAGCAGCAGGCAACGGGCTTCACAAATCGCTCTCGATGCATCGTATGTATGATGTGTTCCTTTGGCCGCCTTGGCCTGCAGCAGTTTGTATGTCTCATTGGGTTAGGGATGCACCACCGCTGTGTAGTAAGCCCAAAAGATCGGCCTGCAGCAGCAGCAGCAGCAGCAGCAGATTGGACCTGTGTCGCCTCCTTCGCTTGTGGTGCTGCCGACACAGCAGCCAACCGGCTCTAACAGTCGAACCCGACCTCCTATTATGTGTGCCTTTGGCTGCCCTTGGTCCACAGCAGTCTCGTGTGCTGCTGCTGCTGTGCTACGTCTTTCGGAGGATTCCCGCTCGGCGGCGTGGCCATCGCCCAATCAGCTGTCTCTGTACTACATAATGTACTACATCGTCGACATGTGATTGGTGGGAGGACTGGTATCTACCCGGCATGCCCCTCTAAAACATAGATATATATATATATATATTTATTTATTTTTCTTAATATGACACCACGAAACCATCTCTATCTTCCGGTACAACATAATTTTTGCCCTACGTATTGGTGCTGTGCCATCTCCCAGTACAAAGTAGCTCTCCGTCGGCTGTACTACCTCGTTGTACCGCCTCATGCGAAGCGGTGTAACTCCCTTTGCTTCCGTATGTACGGGTGTACGAGTCGGTGCTGATCTCGCAAACAAGTCGTACGATGACTCTATTGTGACAAGCAACCGATCACCACTCCTGGGAAGGTAAAGGCTGCTTTGCTCCAATAGGCTACTTGTAAGCGATGGAATGTTTGCGTCTCACGACAGGAAGCACGAGAAATGAGGACTCTGTGACGCAAACTACTCTTTACATGTTGGTCAGGAGGCGCCTGTTCGATTGGTACAGCAGTACGAATCCTCTTGTTCGTTCTGTCTGGGGAAGCACAAGCACACGCACGGGTGCCAACATCACGCTCTCAACAAAAAGGAGAGCAAGGCTTCTGTGCAGCCGCACAACTCCACTACCAACACGCGAGCAGCAGCCAACTCTCCCGTCCGCTCTGGCACCCCTTCGCTCACCTCGACGTGAGGGTTCGTCTTCAATCCTCTCCCCCTCGCGGCCACTTCACCCACTCTCCTGCCTGCCCCCGCGGCAGGGAAACCCCGTGCTCCCACCGAAAGGGCCCTGCCAAGAGCGGAAGACATCTTGTTGTCTAGGTTCTCGTTGTCTAGCCTCGAGTCCTCTCTACACAGCACTGCCTGTAGGTGTAGACTCGCCGACTTGCAACTTGTTGCGACCGGAGGGGGGGCACGCGAACTATCCCGATGTGACCCCTCTCTCGATCTCTCGAAGATTCACAATTCACAGACAATCCGCCGCATGCCATGCACATGCTACATACGTACATAAGGACTGCGGACGGAGGGGGCAAGGCTTGGTCGGTCGATGCACCACAAGAATCACACAAGGAAGAACCGCGACCACGTCTTACTGAAGCTGAAGTATTTCACGTAGGCGTAGGCACACCAGACCACTCTGCTCTAGTCTTTGGGGTCGGGAGTCGGGAGCTGCGCCGTAAACACAAGAACGTCGATTTCGGTTTTAGCACTTCAACGAACGAACACAGCCAGCAGCGGTGCAGAACAGCAGCATCCGAGGGAGGTAGAGAGAGAGAGCCCGTTCCAGAGGCAAACTTCGTCACATCTACCCGCCGAGAAGTGATGGACAGGGGTCGCCATGATCGGCGGGACAGCCACGACGATGGTCGTGTGGCAGCAGCAGCAGCAGGCATCGATGGAACGACGTTGCCCGCCTCTCCTCAAAGACACCAACAACAACAACAGGTGCCGCGCTCTGCCGACAGCGGCGGCAGCAACAGCAGCAACGCACGGTTGCAAGCCAACGTCCAGAGTAGGAGAGGTTCTTTTGACCCTATGGACCTATCTGGATCAGAGCGGAAGCGCCCCACTCCGGGTGAGCTCCATTTTTTATTGCCGGCAAGTGATATGGCGATCCTTCCCTCCGCCCTTCACGATCGCCCGCCCTTCACGCCGAAACTGGCTCCATTAGGAAACGATCTTTAAATTATGTCCTGCGTCCATGCCTGGTCTGATTCCCTGTGTCTGATTCCGCATTTGCATTGACGGTAGGTCTTGGTTCACTGATACCTATTCGTGCAGCAGCCAAGTGTGTCCATGACTGGGCGCTAAATGTCTCGGAGTCCTTCAGAGTCTGCCGAGAGGTTCGATTTCGTGCAACTCAAAGAGGAACAAATATTTCCGCATCTTTGTTTTTTGTTTTTCGTTTTAGGACGAAGAAGCACACACACGCTGCATACAAATACGCATACCATCTGGTACTGTATATCTCTTCCAAGGTATACTTGGTAGTCGAGACGCCTATTATAATAGCGGTAGGCCGGCAAGAAACACGCGTTAGGCTGCTCTGGTCAGCCCAAGTCCCCTAAGCTAAGACTGACAGGGGTGGCAGCGGTGGCCGCTATGCGAACGCTCTCCTGCTTGAGCAAGGAGCACTCATGTGGCATTGAACAAACAGACACCGTGCTGCTTACCATGCACCACGACCTGTGCGAACTACGCCCTGCTGTACAGCAGTGTCCCCGCCTTCGTTTGTTAACCGCCGTAGCTCGTATTTCTAGCTACCCTATGCCTGCTTTTGATACCTGAAGAGCTATCGCGAGCTTTGATCTGCACGCTTGTACAACCTCTAGACTATAATATGTTCCTCGTAGCTATGCATAGAGAAAAGCAAAAGACCCATCCCGAACGACACCCACGGGATGACATAGATTCGATCCAGTATATCGCCCTCCGTCCTCTTCGAAACTCGAACAAAAAATGGATTCTCCGCGGGCGTACGCTATTGGCCACCTTCGACCTATCAGGTGGGAGCCGTCTCGTCCGCTGGGCGGCCGCTCTTGCAGGCGCCAAAAAGCCCGACTCTCCTCCCCCCCGCGCCGCGTCCTCCGGCAACAAGCAACACCGACGCGCCGAGGCCGCCGGCAGCAACGCCGTTGAACCATCGATGCACACGCCTCCCATCGACGGAGGCGGGACCGACCACGACGGCGGCGGCGGGGCGGACAGCGGCGACCCCCCCCCTGCTGGCGGCCTATCGGAAGGAGGCTTGTTCACGTCCTCCCCGCTGCGGCACCGGTTTCGTTCGGCCAGGCGAGGGTTGACCAGCAGCGGGTGGTCTTCGTCGTCTACTTCGTCCGCGGCAGGGTGGGTCGGCGGGGGCGGGGGCTCCGGGGCGGGAGGAGACCGGGAGGGGGGGGCTTCGACGTTACTCGGAAAGGTTTTCAAGGTGACCACAGAACCAGAAAGTAGACTTTTTTAGGGGGGGGGGGCGTACATGATACACATTTTCACACGGCAGTATATTGGCTTTGTGTAGGTTCGAAGAGGATACACGTTTCTGTTGGTATTGGGGTGCGCGTATGTGTTCGGCACGAAACTGATGCGTGATTAGAGCTGCCCGCCGTCTCTTTGCACCACCCACAAGAATTGAAATCTTGCATCTATTTACAGACCATCGTATTCGTGACAAGGACTTTCAAGGTTGGCCGGCGTTTCCCATCACAGCCAGTAGTGGTCCGTGTTTGCTGTAAGGCCGCACAGTTAAGGACGGTCGCACTGAACAAGGCAGGTGACATCCGATGTCACAGATGGAATATTCGAGTTGTCTCATGCTGCTCTGAAAAGTGCCGAGTGCCCGGTGTAAGGATGGCCGAATCCCTTGGCGCCACCGTGGGGCCTTTTTCAGGGACCACCACCACGGTATAAAGAACGCCGAAACCCTCACACAACTCGCTCGCTCACACGTGGACCACAAGCCTACGACGCGTTATCTCATCCAACACCATCCCTGTGCGTCGCTGATATCCTCCTCGCAAAACCCTGTCGTAGTCTCTGCTTGTTCCGGGGGCCTACGGCAGCGCTGGTGGTTGAGTCTGTTGTATGCGTACATAGGTCAGGGTCAATTTTGGTAGGAAAGTGCAGCAGCATGAATATGAAAGCACAGCTTCAATTCCTGTTCGAAACCCCAAGAACTGACGCTGAGTTTTTCCCAGAGAAGGCCGCGTGTCGGTGGCACCCCTTCTTGGTAAGCGGGCCTACCTGCAAGACCGAGGCAGTCTTTCTGGCCAAGGTCTATTTAGACTTTCTAAAGGCAGGCGTCAACTGATGCCGCCACTGTCTTGACCCGGCGTTGGCCTTGGTCATGTCATTCGGCAACGTATTCATTCGCGTTTTTGTCCGTTTTCTTTTCGTTCTTAACTCTTTTCGACTGCCCTTCTCTGATTGGTTCTTGTTTGTTGGCCAGGGTCCTCTGGCCATGTACGTGATCCGGCAAGTGAAAATGGCCGCCGCTTTGGCTGCCCTTGCCGTCTGTGGGCTGGGGGCCCTGCTGATGGGACTCTGCCTCTACTTCACGGTACGTACGTTCGAGCGATTCGCCTGAGGTGTTTTTTGGGCTGCGCTTTAGGTTTGGAGAATAGTGGGGAGGGAAACAGAGTGGTACAGCGTGCAGCATAGGCGTTGGTGATCGTGGCTTGAGTAGAGCCAGGTCCGCGGGGCTTGGATACGTTGCACCCCCATGATATACGGCACCCCCTGGACCGATTCTCAAATCTCGATTTCTTTACAACAACGAGAGAAAACAGCGCCCAAACGGGCATACAATACAGCACTCGAAAAAAGTACGTATTATGAAAGCCTTTCCGTGGACGTGAGGGTCGGGACTATCTGTCGCCCTCCTCTCTGCTCTACGGAGAAAACGAGACACAAAATCAGACGGATCGGTCGGTGCTGTCACCTTCTCTTTGCTGTGGAGAAAATCGAGAAATTCGACGATAACGGTCCACACTGGGTGTGGTATCTTGTGTGGAGTACGCGATACCTCGCGCCGCTACAGCAGTACGGTACGTGTGTGGGCGCATTGTTGGTCGCGTTGTGGTGCGCTGCCCCAGCTTCCATTCTCGCGCCGGGGGTCCACGCAGACAGATATCAGAGAGTACCGGGGGCAGGGGGTGTTGGCAAGGCGTAGCCACCACTGTAGACAGTTGTTCGATCTTGCCTCCTCTCCCGAAAGCAAAAGGCCACGATACGGGGCCACGCAGAGCGTTTATCTCATGCCTCCGACGTTTTTGTGAAGTTCTCGCGGTCCCCGTGTGGAGGTCGTAATTGGTTGCGATACGTTGATGATGCTGACGTCTGTCCGGCCACGCGTGTTATTGGGATCATGATGCGGGCTGTTGAATCGAAAAGGTGCGGCCTTGGGGACGGGCGACATACCGGCGCCTTCTCTGTTCTCAACTGGCGGGGCCCCTCGTGGATTCGGCGTCGCTGCTTCTTCCGCGCACAAGGGTCAGGGTGACGGGTGACAGGTGGGTGCTCTATGCTTTCTATTTTTCTTGTATCCGATGTTAGCCAGTCGCTCGTCGTTACACGGAGCACTGTGCCATGAAAATGCAGGTGATCACACATCCCCTCGACCGACTTTGAAAGCTCGATTGCTCCTCAGCCAAGAGGCTGCCAGTGCCGAAAAGGGTGCCGTGGGGGGAAATATGTCGTCGTTCGAGAGCTGTCTTTCCTTGCATCATGCTTGCGCCCCCCGGTCTTCACGCCCTCTTGGCTGTCGAGTTCTAGCTCTTTGGAATCCGTTCCGTCTAAAGGGTGTGCAATCACTCGCACTTTCACGGCAGTGTTGGTTGATTCCTCTCCGTGCACAGGTCTATCATCGATATCCTGCTGAATTGATGCACCCTCTTCGTCGGAGTGTTTTGTGTTGGTGTGGAAGGAAGTTGCTGCTCGTTTAGTTCCGAACAAGATTTTGAGGAACATCGCGAAACGTCCTAACTCCCGGTCCCTATTAATAGTGTCCCCCCCACTTGCGTCCTTGAATCTTGGTAGTCCCACCACATTCCCCACGGAAATCCGGACAATTTTAGCTGACAAAAAATCACATCCACACACGGTTTTCTTTCTCGTTGTCACGACGGTACATGCGCGCGGGGCGTCGCACCCAACCGCACAACACAACCGCAGCGACATGCTGGATGGACTGTGCCCGTGCGTGATCGTGTCCAACACACTGCCCGGCGACGCCTTCCAAGGCCTTGACTGGTGGACCATCCTGCAGGTGGCCAGGGCTGTAGGCGCGCACGGCTACACCAAGGTTAGTTGAGGTTTTGACGCCACTGCAACGTGCTGCTGCCTGCTCCCTGCTGCTGAAGCTGCTTATGCTGCTGCTGCTGCCGCCGCTGGATCTTGCTGCCGTCTTTGAGTATTTTGTTTTCTCCACCTGCCTTCTGCTGTGCGTAAGCGCAGAGTGCGTTCTTTTTTGCCTTTGCGTTTTTTGACCACACGAAAAAATTTCGCAGTCCCCCGTAGGTCCACCTGCCCTGCGGCCTTGCCTCTCTCGGCCGCCTTCAACGCTCTTGCCCTAGCACATGCCACACAGCAGTCACAACATCAACAGCCATGCATGCACGATCACCATCCTCTCTCAACTTTCCGCCGTGCGTTGCGCACGCTTTTCTTCAGGTCCTGGTGAGCCAACGGCTCAACAGCACCCCAGTATTGGGCTGGATCTTGAGGATGCTAGAGTTTCCAGGGTTGGGCGACTGTTATCAGGTGAGCGACGCGGTGCCTATGCAGAGGTGATGGGCAGGGTGGGGTGCATCCACATCCTAGGGACATGGTCATAGGAGGAGCGGTGTTTTGGTCAAACGCCTGGGGGTTGGCGTAAGGAAGCGGAAGGCGACACATGTCGACGAGACCACGAGAATGAAGGGTAGTACGGCGTTTTGTGGCTGTTCCACTACGCGTCTTTCACCTGCCTGCCTGCCTTGACTGCACGTTTACATCAAAGAGCACTGTTGTGTGCTGCATCACCCGCTTTTTAGTGTTGTTGTCGCTGTTTGTTGGCCAACTCTGTCGCGGTGGACTCGTTTTCTGGACGGCGACGGGACGGTTCGCGATGAAATTAGACCCCTTCGCGAGCGCGCGCTATCGTAGTACAAGTTGCACCGTCCGGGATATAGCGACAGTGGTTCATAGGGCGAAAATTGATGCCTAGTCTAAATACCCCCCGCAAGTCTTACCACCCGGCTCTTCGGTGGACACCCGGCGTGTCCCATGGTTCACTACCCATGACCCGCCTTGGTGTTGTACAGCAGTATGGGCGCGGGGGTCTATGGCCTCAAGACCTTCGGTGCTTGCGTGGACAACGAACGGGGCACCCCCCCCCCCCCCCCCGGGAAGTCCTCCCCTCCCCCTGGTTCGTTCCCTCTTGTACCCGTATTATGCCTACGAAAGACACACACACATACACCGGAGTCCCAGATCATGGCCTTTGGCAGCATTGTCTGTTTTCCTACCGCACTGAGACTGAGTGACGTATTTTCATTGGCCAGGCGGTTAGGGCGGTCGATGCTACTGATAGCGACGCACGCACTTCCTTAATTCCCCGTCAGGCTCAATCCAAACCACCCCAACTTGCTTCTGCTCTGCTATTTTGTTCTGTTTGTTCTCTTCTTCTTTTTTCTATCTATTTTATCCGTATGCACAGGAGGACAGGGACAGGGTCAAGAAGTCTCTGGCATCCTTCGCCAGGGATTCCGTGTCGGCCGGGCCTTCGGGTGTCCCGTACATGTTCTTGCATTTTCCGGAGGGGGGTACCCTTAACCTGGAAACGCTCGCCAGCTCGCTGGAGTTCGCGCAGAGAGAGGTATGCATACGCATCGCATGAGATGTCTCTCCGCCGCTGCCGTCGTTGTGGAGACCAACTTCATAAAGGTACAATCTCCCCAACGTCTGTCGAGGACGATCTCTTTTCCACATCGTGCTTCTTGTTTTTGTCATTTCTGCGCCGGTTGAGTGTGTGTACGTTCGAGTTTTTTTTGGGGGGGGGCACAGTTTGGGTAGCGCGGAGAGAGGTGGCATGTGCCTGCACTATGTTGAATCCTGCCGTTTCTTTTCGTGGTACTTTTGTAGTTGGAGCCTTTTTCTCACCACCCATAGGGTTATGTTTCGTTCCTTCTACATACGTCTTGGCGTTTTAGTCAACCATTGCTCTCTCTCTCTATGAACAACAGGAAATTCGTTCGAGAAGCGCATGAACTTTCTTACTAATTTCAGCAACGTCATTAATCGCGGCTCGTCTCTCGGTCACCAGCATTCATTCCCCGGTCCCCTACATGCTCACACCCAACGCCAACGCCCGACCCCCCCGTGCACCGAACACCCCCCACACCCTACCCATGCCTTTTTTTTTGTTCTTTTTCACACCACACCCGACCACAGGATCGTCCGGAGCTGACGCACCTCCTGCTGCCCCACACGACGGCCCTCTCGGCCTGCCTCGACGGACTCCGGCAGGCCAAGCCCGTCGTGTACGACTTCACACTCGCGGCAGACGCCTACATGGGGGAAATCCCTCCCGCCCGCCGCTCCCCGTCGACCGACTGGGACGTCCTCCGCGCCCTTGTCGCCGGCAGGGCTTGGGGAGGGGGGGACGGGGGGGAGAAGCCGCCGTGCGCGGGCCGCCCGAACCAGAGGAGCGATGCTTCTTCCGCTTCCGGGGAAGGGGACTCGTGTGGGGAGCCGTCGGGTCTCTGCCGCACGGGGGGGGGGGCGGCGGCGGCGGCGGCGGCGGTCCCTCTGGGGTTTGGTTCTGTTGGCAGCACGGGGGGTGCCGGCGGGGACGTGATGGGGATCGGGGACCGATCGCAGGCGGGCGTCGGTCGAAGCGAAAGCGGGGACTGGGGAGACGGCGGGGGGACGGCGGAGGCGGCGGTGGGCGGGGGGGATAGGAAGGACGAGCGCACGTGGGGGAGAGGGTGCCAGGACATTCACGTCCGGATCAAGAGGTGAGGAGGTCGTGTTAGGGCTAAACTTCGAAGTACTATGCTCATGCATGGCTTGGATCCATCGTGCAACAATCGTTTATGACGCACCGCCCCTATCGACAAGAACCTTTTTGGCGCCGATTTCCCTCGTTTCTGCCATGGTTTTGCTCAAGTACTGCAGGTGGATAGTCGCGGCTATCGCATCGCCCTGGTATTGTTTTTGTTGGCGTTGGGGAGATGGGGACCCTTCTCTTCACTCCAGTAGTATTTCTTGAGAGGATAGTTGAGCTAGGTGAGCGACCTGCGTGGACGAGGTAGGGGTAGTTGATTGACCCTGAGGCGGCGACAACAATTTTGTCAAGAGGTGGAAGGATGGGAGTTAAGGTCTAGTCTTGATCGGCGTTACCTTTTGTCTAACAGAGGCACGGCAGCAGTGCTCTCTGCGAATCACGCGGTGGGACTGAAACGGCAACCGAAAAATGAGCGATCGCTCCCGCTCTACCTCCTCCTTGCTCACGGCACCACGATCACGATTGGTGGTCGTCAGCAGCCCTTGATTGATGTTGGCTGCACTACCGCCCTTCCTTTTCGACTCGCTCGCGTCTGAAAATCGTCACCTATTATAGTCAATCAATAGTATCCCCGCTCTGAATCGATCCCCCGACCGTCTTTGGCAGGTACAGCTTGGAGGAGGTGGTGGGGGACACCCACTGGCTGGACGACCGCTGGGCGGAGAAAGAACGCCTCCTTGCCTACTTCTCTCGTCACAGGGTATGGGTGTTTGTGTGTAGCGGTGTGTGGAAGGAACTAGCTGGTCTAAGGCCCAAGATGCTCGTCGATGTACGTTGAGGTGGGGGTAGAATAAAAAAATATATCCCCCCTCCTTCTTTTTTTTTTTTTCGGTTGTCTTGCGGTGGAATCTTCTTCTTTGCTGTGGGTGTCGCCCCCAGCCCCCACCTTGTGTATCCTTTCAGGGCGATCGCCGACGCTTTGAGGTTTTTGCCCTCTATTGCAGTGGCATCCATGTTGTACATCAGTCAAGGGATTTTACCGGCCGTGTGGAGGGCACCCGGTCTTTGTCACCGACCATCCACTGCTGAACGCGCACAAGCAATAGCGTGGATGCCGCCCTGTTGAAAAAGTACCACGGCACCGGGATCGAAAAGTTTAGACTACTCGTTTGTCCTTTTTACGTCACCGGTGATCGGTTGCGGCTTGTCCTTTTTCAGTGACCGGTCATGTTTCCCCCCGGATCCATCCACAACACCCCATGCTAAAAGAAAAAAAAAAACATCCGTTGTCGGTCGTGCGTCCTCCCGACAAAAACAACCACGCCGAAGAGTTTTCCGTCAGACGGGCGAGGGTTCCCGGCCCGCCGCACCCTGGACACGCGCGGGGGCGGACAGTTCGAAACCTCCGCGGCTGCGTTCGTCCGCCTGTCGTCGGTGGTGCTCTTCGTGCCGCTGCTGTCGCTCGTAGCCATCCCGCTGGCGGTGTCGATGGCGGTAGCGGCGCTGGGGTACCGGTTGGTCTGCGCCGGGGTGAGGGCGGGGGCGACGCGGATTCTTCCGAGGAGGTTCACCCGGGGGGTCTGGTGCTCGCGGGAGGACGGGGAGGACGGGGAGGAGGTAGGTAGAGGAGGGTTTGACACGGGCTTGAAGGGAGATGGCGCGAATGCTGTGGCAATGCAGAGAGAGATTGCCTCTCAAGTGCTTGGGGGGTGCATACTCGGTACAGAGAGAAGAGAGAGGGGAGCCCACGATAGGGGGGGGTCTCGGGGAAAGTGGGATATGGTTGAGTTTTTGCCTTTGTGCGTCATGCGATAGTGAGGAGTTGGAGATTGAGTAGTGGGGCACACAGCGCCGAACAGGATCTCATCATCGTGCACACTAGAAGTACGTAGCAAAGTGTTCCCGGATGCTGCTGGCGTCGTATTGGGCGTATGGAATTAGGAGAGAGATCCTTCGTCTGAAAAGGAATGCGTGGTCAATGGCCAGATGACCAAACTCAAGCTGTGAACGCAAGGAAATGTCCCCCTTTTGTGTTGTGGAACAAAGAAAAATAGCACCCGAACAGGTCACGATAGTTTATTTCTTAGAAGCCACAGCAGGTAGTGGACGAAGCTTCCCTTTGAACAGGACAATGGGGGGCCAATCGTCTGAACAGCCTACGCCCCCCCCCCCCCACCCCCCAGGATGAACTAGGGCAAGACTACAGCGGCCGCCAGTCTACGCTAACACCGTGGTGGGGCGGTCCTACGACCCCTCTCAATACGCCGGCGCCGGGAGGGGCGGCGGGACCGGGACCGGTTCCTCCGTACGTCACCAAGAACTCGGGCTCTTCGGCGAGATAGCGGCCTTTTCGGGTCGATAGGAGCCACAGACCCGCATGTCTGTTTGGAGATGTACGAACAACCGAGAATACGGTTCTTTTGCTTCTTTTTTTTCGTGTCTTGTTTCGCGGTGGTGTGTACCTGGTGTACAATATGACACTTAGCTGCTGCTGAGCGCCGTGACTGAAATTGAGATTGTTACTCCTATTTTGGTTGGATTGTTGTCGGGATGGTCATGGTAGCGTGTAGATACAGGCTTTGGGATGTGGCGGATTGTAGATGTGTCAAAGTGTCGGTCGCTATTGCTGCTGTGTCCGGTGTTACTTTTGCTGCTCTCAAGGCAAGGGCACTGCACTACCAGCGCCGTGGTGTTGCCTACGTGGCACAAGAAACCTCGAGGGAGGCTTTCCCGAACAAGAGTAGCCCGGATCGATCGTGGTGAGCGGTTGAATAGCACCACTGCCAGGTATAGCGCCGGTGAAATCGCGTGGTGCGGGTGGAATATTGATGTTGCTTGGTTCTTTGCATAGTCATGGTGTCGGGGGGGGCGTATAAACCCGGTGAACCTGGCGGGGACACACTAGCACTGCCGAGGGACCCAAGCTGTGCATGTATCGAACGGTAATAGGCTTCGTGCAAGGGCGGCGTGGGAGAGTGGGACTACAACTAAACACCATGTGGACGTAGACAGGTCGGAGGTTTTTAAGGTGGCATGTGGAATGTATGTAGCAAGAGAGTTCTGTTGATTTCTATGGCGCTGCGGGAGAGCGTCTGAAAAGGAGAAAGCCAGACGGAGGTCGCTGGCGTTGTCTGGTCCCAAAGGGTCTTGTGGTATGACTCTGGGCTACACGGCTGAGAAACCGGATACCGGTTTGCCTATTGGCGGGGCTGGGCGGGTAACGTGAAGCGAGGGGGGCCCGGATGAAGAGCCCAAACTTTCATTGCCTAGGAGGGTTTAAACCCAGCAATGATTGCATAATAGATGTCGAAAAACGTTGAATAAGACACGGTAGATTGTCGTGAGAGTGTGTATGTAGTGCCAGTACGAAGCGAGGTTGTTTATTCTGTTCTTGTCGCCACTGACAGCGTGGCAGTCCAATACAGTACCATGGGATATGTCAGACAGGACGAAGCGAGGCGCAGCAGTTTTCTTTTCTTTTTTTCTGTGTTCACTTAGTGGTATGCAGAGGTTTCTCTCTTTCTTTGTAACGGATGCTCGACCGCGGCTCCCCTTAGGGCGAGGTACGCGAAGGAGATGCCGATTGCATCACACTTGTTGTTCGGCAACGAGCGAACTTGCAAAATAGGCGGGCGGGGGTCTAGTCTGACAAGTACACCGGGAAACCAAGCACGTTTTTTTTATTCGTTTTTCCCCCTGAAAAATGTTCAACACTGGTGTGCTGCCAAACGACGCGGCAACTTTTTCTCCAAGGCGTACAATAGTGACTATGTTTCTTTTTTTTTATTAGTAGGGGATTCAGATGGGTGCCATTTAGCTGACTTGACCTCGAATAGAAGCAGAGCACTGCCAGTTTTGCAAACAAGGTATGTAGATACCATCCTACGTGCTCTTGGCGTGTCGTTGTCACTTCGCCCTTCTTTCGATGCCGTACGCAAAAAGCGGGTGTGGCCTTTTCCAGTGCGAAAAAAGTGTTACGAGGTTTGTCCTCTCACTCTTTCTTGCCCCCGGATTCGGTTCATTTGAAAAATGAAATAAGAGCGCTACTGTTGTAGGTTTGCTCATGTCGGAGAGGGAGATCGATCTGCCTTTGCTTCGTCCTGGTATTTATTGCGAAGGCCAAGTACCAGTATTTTTACGTGATGTTTTATATGTGTGCAAGTTTTGTTCAAGAAGGGTTCGAAGCTGGGGCTGGCGGCATCTGAATAGCACCTACATATCGTGCGGGTTGTATATTCTGCGTACGGATTGACGGGCATCCATTTTTACATGATACGTATGATCACAGAATCGCAACTAGAGTTAATCGGTGTGTGTCGAAAACATGGCGTTTTTCAGGTGTGTTTGTTGTGTGTGCGCAGACCGTTTTCTTCTCGGTGCCCACGGTGTAGTGCGGAGAGGCATGCGCAGCGGCGCAAGCTGACGTCGTGGCAAGAAGAAGGAAACGCGAAGAATGATGAAAGAGCGTGTATGCGTTTGTACGGACAGTACCTTATCGTCGCCGGTTGTTTTCTCGATTACGCTTGATCGAGGGAAGGAGGACGATGACATCAGTCGTTCTGTCGTACAATAGGACTCAGTCACTGCTGCGCTCTTCTCGCGCCAAAGAAATCAAGACATGCATGCATGGATGGCATCGGGGAAGAAATTAAATTGTTGTCTGCGTGGTCCCGAATCATCGCTCTGCGGTAATACGAGAGGAGGAGAGGAAAGAAAGGCCGCAGCTGGTTACGAACATGCGAGCGACGATTGAGAAAAAAATGGGACGGGGAAGGAAAGCAGGTAAATAAAGCACCTGGCACGTTATCGAAGCTTCTTTTGTTCCTTCTTTTCGGATGGCTTCCCCGGTCGAACGGACAAGAAATGTGGTGGGTCTTACAAGCGAGGGCGGGGGGGGGGTGCGCAAGTTGTGCACTTGTTTTTTTTCGTTCTTACGGAATGGAACCAGTTTTGCAAACGCTTATTTGAAGGAGTGTCAGTCTAGTCTAGAGGGGAACCGGAGGGAGGTACGGGTAACTCTAGGTATATATCGCGAGTTCTTCGTGAACTTTCCATCCATCCATCCTCCTCAGATGATACTTGCAGAGGTGGGCGTTGTTTTGCAATTTAGAAACAATTTTTTAAGTGAAGAACAAACTTCCTTTGTGAAGGGGCGGAGGGTGGCTGTGACAGGTTCGTTCGTGATCGATTTGATTCGGGCGTCAACTCGCTTCGCGAGAGACTCACTTGCAGATGAGCCATTTCTTCTTGCCTTGACTGCACGTACACGCGTGGGAATTACGGAGCTCTGTAGCATGCTGGAGGGGACGAGACGGTTCAGTGCTTACTGTCGACTATTTTGTATGCTCCAAACGTCTAATATTTGTACGGCAATCATTGTTCGTTTCGGACGAAGATCACGAGAAAATAATGGCCGTTTCACGTGTAAATTACACGACGCCCCGCCACCAAAGAACTGGTAGGATATGAGCGCGAGGGTTCCAACCTCTCCAAACACACGCTCAAGAACTTGAACCCCGCTCGCTCAATCCTCTATGTACCGGCATTTTGTAGCCCTTGGTGTTGCCTGGTGCTGCCACGGAGAAAAGGCAAGGATCGAGACTTGTGGTCGGGTGAATACTGGAAGAGGCTCGTTGTCAAGTGTCAAGTGATGCCGCGTTCTGTAAGGGGCTGTGGACATCTATCTGCCGAACACAACGCCGTATCGCACAAACACGTTTCATGTAAAACGGTTGCGCTCCCCCGGCCCTCGCCCGGCGGCGCCGCCACGAGCCGGCCACAATCATCCATCCATGTCGGAAGATGGGAAGCAAGAACAAATCAAGTGTATCGGGGTGGACGACTTGCCGCCAGCAGCGTGGTCTCTCCGCTTTTCACTCTCGAGTCCCACGACATTCATTCCCGTGAGCAAGCGGCTCAAGTAATTGGTGAAAACAGTGGTGGTTGAGGGCACTGCACACCCACACCCCGACTCCCTCAACCATGCCCTCTTGTAGTGGAGGGTGTCGATGTGAAATATCTAGTGCTATGCACGCAGTAAATAAATGTCCGCTAAAGGGAGAAAATATTCAGTCTCTCGCGTTGACGAGAACCCCCCCCCCCGGACATTCACTCAGAACGGCGCGGTTCGCGGATATTTTGCGGTCTCAGAGACACACGTGCGTGCACCATTGCACGATGCTAGAGGTCAATTCCCCAATGACCCAATACACCCTCCGAAACCGTTGATTGGGCAGGCAGGGTATAAAACCGGTGAGTCCACGGTTCACGTCATCTCCCTTCACAGGTGTCGCAGCAATTATCAGCGGCACTCAAACCACAAATCTATCAAAGACGGCCGTCGGCCGACAAACGAGGCGACCACATCGCGACGCACAAGGCATGCATGCACACATGCCAACACAGCAGACCAGAACAAGACGAGCGCGGGCAATTTTCATCCCTTTCATCTCGGCCTCAAAATTTCGAACCTCGCAACAAAAACAGCCCTCCCCCCACAAGCAATCGAGAGGATATCAATATTAAATCTTCCCTCTCGGGAATGGCACGGGAACACCAAAACCACACACATATTGCCACCAACCACTCCCTCCCTCTCCATAAGAACTGACCACTCTCATTCTTGGCTTAGTGGATGACGTACGACACAAGGACTAGTTATACCGTTGCTGCTGCTCAAGTCCCCTCGTGGTCGGGGCTTGTGGTCGGGGTTGAATACCCCCCCCTCCCGGAGCGACGATGCGAAACGTTACCGTTACCCTCTCCACCGAACACACGCGGTCACCCTGATACAGTACATGTTTCCCCGTTCGCTCCAACGCACCCTGTCCGTCCGCGCGAGACGAAAACATCGCTACAGCCACAGGGAGCGGCGGGAACCAAACTCTCCTCCTAAACACACGCTTCAAAATTCAGTCAGCACGTCACTCCCCGAAGGAAGTCTGGCCCACACCCTCCCAGTGGAACCCTCCGCCCCCGATGGAATCATCCACCATCTCGTCGTTGCCCCGGTAGTGGTTGAATGGCTGCTGCTGCCTCCGCCCTCGTCCCGCCGCACCGCCCCCGGCGCCGGCGCCGGCGCCGGCGCCGCCGGCCCTCCTTCCAGCCGCCGACCCGGATGATGACAGTCCCGCGGATCTGGATGATAGTCCCGCCGCGACTCCAGTAGGTATCCAGCTCGAGGAAGGGACGCCGCCCGTACCGCCGAACGGCCGCACACTCGACGACCCTTTGCTACCTCTCGCGCCGCCCCTGACCGCTGCCCCCTTGCCGCCGCTTCTGCCCCTGCTGCCACGCCCGGCCGCGGCGCCCGCTGCCGTCGCCCTCGCCCTGGGAGCCTTCGATTTCTTGGAGCCTCGCTTAGACCTGTTGGTCTTTCTGTCGCGGGCGGTCTTCCGGTCCGCGTAGCTCTTGGTGCCGGAGGCGCCGCCGGCCGGGGCGGCCGCCATCGCGGCGAAGTCGATGCAGCTGGTGCCGCGGTCGCGGTGCTCCCTCACGTTCGAGAAGAAGCGGAACTTGCGGGGCGGGGCGCGCTCCCCCCCGGCCGCCCCGGCTGTGCTTCCTTTTAGCCCCGGGAGACTGAAGTCGTCGTCATCGTCATCGTCTTCGTCTGAGATGTCCTCCACCATGGCCCCAGCCCCGGCCCGACCCTTGCCACCGCGGCGTGCCGTATCCCTGTCAGGGCCGCTATCGTCGTTGTCGACGGTCTCGGTGAGGTCTAGAACATGGCCCGGCGGGGGGGCGGGAACCCGCCGCCGACTACTTTTCGGGGACGGTGACAGGCTCTCCACGCTCTGGGGGCGGCCCCGCGGATTCGGTGACGTATCTTCCCCTCCTTCCGGCTGAGACCGCAAGAACCTTTCCTCGATCTGGGAGCTCACCATCTCGGACTGCTCGAAATCGTCGCCGTCTTCGTCCAGGTAGTCCTCGTCGGAATCATCGCCGTCGTCATTGTCATCTCCCATCCCCGCCGAGAAACCCCCTACGTCGTCGTCGTCCTCGACGTCGGAAAACAGAACGTCCAGGTCTCCGACGAAGCCTCCCATGCCGCCGCCGGCACCCGCCGCCGCCGCCGCCGCCGCCTCTCCAACCTCGCCCCTAGCGGTGCCGGCGCGACCACCGTCGTGCTCCCCTCCCCCGCCGTCTTTACCCTTGCCACTGCCGACCGACCCGTTCCGAGCACGACCGTTACGCCTCACGTCCTCGATTTCGCCGGTCTCTTCTCTCCCGGCCGACGACGACGCCTCCTCCGAACCGCCGCGCCGCCGCTTGCCCGCGCCGCCAACAAAGCCGTCGCCGCCGCCGCCGCCGCCGCCGCGCTCTCTCGCACCCCGCTCGGGGCGGGAAGCGTCCCCATCGCCTCCCGGATCGTCAGCACCGCGACCGCTGCCTCTACCACTACCACTACCGCTGCCGCTACCACTACCGCTACCGCCGGCAGCCGAGCCACCTTCATCCTCATCACCGTCAGCGCCGCCGCCGCTCCACGCACAACCTGCCGAGCCGCCCCCGCGGCCCGCGGCCCGGCGAGTCGTCATCGCCCGCGGCGGAGACCTCGGCGTCTCGCAGGCTTCGCACACCTTCGCCCTGCCTCGGTTCTTGAGCGTGCACGTGCCGCACTCCCACTCCCCCCTGCTCCCGCTTCCGCGGGGGGAGGACAGCGGCGGCCCCGTCGAGGCCTGAGAGGTCTGAGACCCGGCGCCGCCGTCCCACGCGAGCCTGCCCAGCACTCGGCTCTGCCGGGGCGACTTCTTCTGCTGCTGCTGCCGCCCGCCGGTCTGCCTGTCAGCGGTGGCGGTGGCGGGGGCCGGCGACATTAACTCGTCGCCGCCTTCTGGAGGCCGCTTCCTTGTCTTCGGCGGCGGCGGAGGCGTGTCCACCAGGCCCATCGCCTCGGCACCCGGGCTGTCTTCCGCCGCGGCCGCCGCCGCCGCTGCTGCTGCACTCTCGCCACCGCACCGCTGCCGCTGCGGTGTCCGCGCGGGAGGGGGTGTGGCCGCCGCCGCCGTACTGTTCCCGTTGACACCGGTGGCATCTGCCGGGGTGGGGGTGGGGGTGGGGGTGGGGGCGGCAGCGGCAGCGGCAGTAGACGCGGTAGCAGCAGCAGCAGCAGCAGCAGCGGAGGCGCCGGGAGGAGTAGAGGAAACGGCCACTGAGCCGGGGTGCTTGACAGCTTCCTCGAACGCGGGGCCAAGATGCACGGCTCCTCGCCCGCCGTAGCCAGTATCGCCCCCGGCGGCGTCGTCGTCGTCTGAGCTATCGCTTTCCGAGCTCCCGATATCCATCATCATGCGGCACCGCGTTGGACCTACGGCGGCGGCGGCGGCGGCGGGTACTCCAGCCCTACTAGAAACGTCAGCGTCGTCCTTCGATGGGCTACCACCTGCGGTGGTTGGTGCAGCTTGTATTGGGCTTTCGCCTCCCATGCTCTCCCGCTCTCCCTCCCCCTCTCCGAGGCTGGCACCGTCTTCCTCCATGTCATCATCGTCCTTCACCTCCTCTTCCGAACCGCCGCCGCTTGCCACTGCCGCCGCCGCCGCAGGCGCGCCGCCATCGTCTCCCGGGCCTTCTCCCGCTGCTGGGACGCTGCCACCAAGACCATTCTTACTGCTGCTGTGATCGTCGTCGATGTCAGTATCCCCACCTTGGCCAACGACGCCATCGTCGGTGCTTTCCGTATCGCTACCCAGCCCGGAACCACCGGGGGGCGGCTCAGCGCAGCCTACGTCAACCGAAGCGGCACCAGCAGAGGCGGAAGGAGGTGCATCAGCAGCCCTAGAACTAAACTCATTATTCGCACTAGAAGCACTATTAACATCAACCGGGCGTTCTTCCGACGAGCCGCTTCCGCTCAACCAACCCTTTGCCGCTGTCACCGCCGCCGTCGCCGCCGTCGCCGTCGGACGGGTGCGGACCTCGTTGTGGTCCGGTTCCCCACCCTGTCCCTCCGACCCCTTCACTTCTGTGGAACGCCCAGGTGTGCAATGCCGCCCGGAGGAGTCATTCAACCGCGGAGAAGATGACGCTACAGCCCCTGGGGTTGGTGGTGCTGGTTCCCTGTCGTGCTCGATGTGCGCACGCTTCCTGGGCGGTAAGCTAAGCCTCGAGCGTCTGCCATGAGCAAGCGAGAGAGAGAAGCAAGCGCAGATCAAATTGCGGCGGCGGCGGCGGCGGCGGCGGGGTCAACACGCACTTAGAGGGCCATTGCCGCGCAGTAGGCCAAGAGTGTGTGTGGTGTGGCAGTGCTGTCTTAACGCTCAGGGGCAATGCACGCCTACGGCATATGGGGGATCACCGCTCGAGCACCTCTTGTTTCGCCTTTCCGTGAGCCTTGATTCGTATTTCCTCTGCACGGCACCCCAACAGTGACTAGACATGGGTTAGAGTGCGGGATTCTAAACTGAGAAACTGTTCCCATGGCCAAGGTCTTACCGTTTGGTGTTTTTTGAGTCTGTAGTCCTTAAACCGCCTGGTTTACTGCACCTGAATAGTACCCCACAGCACGCCTGTACCTGAAATCTACCCCACAGTACGCGGCAGGCGGTAGCACAAAATGAACGCGCCACCCCTAACACAAAACCTCCCGCATTCCCTACGCCTGGCAAGGTTATTGTAGACGGAACCCCCAGCAACAAACGGACTAATTGGGGCGTCTTGACCCCAAATACAGTAGTGCGGACCCCTCCGCCAGCTGAACAGACTCCTTCCAATAAAGGGATCTGACATTTCAAAGGCTAGTCGTCTTCATGCCTGTCGGAACTTCGAAAGCCACAAAGTGCACGTGTGCACGTTCAACAAAAACTTTGACCAAGCAAAATATTGAAGCGACAACGCACAAGAACTTACCTCTTCTTCGGCTTCTGCTCCTGAACTCCGACCATTAGCGAGTCCGCCAACGTACGTCCACCGCCCTGTCCCGCCCCCGCCCCCCCGCCGCCGCCATCAAACGAGGGTTCCACCGCATTGTAGCTGCTGCTCGCCGCTTTGTCGCCGCCCCCGTCCCCCCGCACCGCGCCGCGACTCCCAGGAGACATGGCACCGCCGCCGCTGTCGTCTCTACACGTCGTCGGGGTAGGCGGCCACCTCCAAGCCGGCCGCCTTCTGCCGTCCCCGGTGATAACGGCACGATGCAGGACGAGAGGCCGGTCATCATCGTGCTCGTGATCTCGTCGGTCTTCAAAAACCGCGTACGCGCGATCCCGGAATATCTCGTCGCCCGGGTAGGACGGAAGGGGACGCTGCCGCTTCTTGCCCTGCTGGCGAGGTGCTGCACCCCCGCACGTCTCGCGGCCCGCGCTCTCTCGCTCCTTGTCTAGCTTACGCTGCCTCGCCCGCTCCTTCTGGCTGGTGGACCAGCCCCTCCCGAACAGGAGCGGCGTCTCACCGGAATCGTCCACGTCGTTGTCGTCGTCTGTAGCAGCCCGGTCGGACGTCCAATCCCCGTCCGCCGCTCGTCTACCGACACTACCTCTTGGTCCAAGTCTTGTTCTTCTTCGCTGTCTTCCACGACAAGGGCGCTCTCCGTTCGTTGTTGCTGTTGCCTCGCTCGGGACGAGGACCGGGTGTTCGCGCGTGGTCTCTTGGACGATTCCGCGGTCTCCGCCTCTTCTTCCTCTTGAACGGTTTCCGGTCGCTGCTTCTTCCCCTGGCGGCTATTCGCCTTGCTCCTACCCGTGCGAGCCCCCGCCGCCGCTGCTCTGCTGTCTTTGTTGTCGCCGTCGTCATAGTCCGCGAAGTTGCTAATTAGCGGAGGGCTTGCCGCCTTCGGAGGGCGAAGCCTGCTGCCGTTGCTCCTCCCGCCGGGCCGTCTGCCTTGATTGCACACCTGGCAAACCGCGGCACCAAGGTCTTCGTTGTGGAAGGTGCACTTGGGGCAATCCCAGCCGGTGCCCGCTGCCGCCGTCGCCATGTCCGACCAGCGAGACCCGACAACGTCGCCGTGATTTTTAAATCTGCCCGTGCTGTCCGCAGGAGTCCACGGTTTTAGGATTCAAACCAAACTCGTGTCAGCACGCGAAGCGGGAGAACGCGCGCAGATGATGGATGCGTGTCAGAGTAATGAATCGTGTACCACGCAGAAACCAGGCCGGCCACAGCCCTCCCTTCCGTGCGCGCCAACAACGCTGTGTGGCAGGAGGTGGTGGCAGGTGCGGCGCAACCTATAGAGAGGGGGTCCGCGGAGAGAAGAGGTCGAAAATTGTACATACCAATTTCATAGTTAGACTGTACATCCGTGGCGCCCCTGCCCCGCTTGCACTTGAGACTCCCAACATCCGACTACTGAGCAGCGGCAGAGTATGACAGAGAAGAGAGAGCCATGTCGAAAAGAATAACGCAACCACGAAATCGGCACATCGTAGCGGTGATTGCCCTCCTCATCTCGTCGGTGGAAGGCTTCGCGCCGCAGGCACGGCAGACACACCGCTATGACAGCTCCAACGCGGCTACTTGCAGTGGAACAACCGCTATAGCAGCAGCAGCGTGGTCATCGGCTCAACAACAAACCTCGCGGCACCCGATGCGCCAGCGGGGACCATGGGATGGAGTCGGAACTCGTCGGCGATCGGGAGTCTTGTGCCAATATAGGTGGGGATTTGGTCTCGGAGGAGGAGAGGGTCCAGCAGCAGACCAAAGAGCAAGAAAATTGTTCCCCCCTGCAGGCGGTCCTGCAGCAGGGAGCGCAGCAGCACGGCCGGGCAGCTTCAGCAGCAGGAGCTACCGGAGGGGCAGCAGCTCGCTGTCGATGGCTCTTCACTTCCCCAGGCCCCCCAGGCTGCCGAAGCCTCCCCCGCCAAGCGATAAAGCGCCCCTAGCGGGCGGCGGAAAATCGGGGTCCGCTGGCTCTAGCAGCAGCAGCAGTAATCATGAGAGTCAGAAACAGCAGCAGACCGCTACGACTCCGGGGGGGTTTTTGCCACAACCTGCAGCAGGGAAGTCGGGACGAGGGACTGTTGCGAGCGAGGGCGTGACGGGCGTCTCGGACCTGGATGCGATAGAAGGGAAGGATTCGGCGGGGCACGCGAATGACACAAGGACGGACCTTAACGGGAGCAAGGTTAGAGAGGGGGCCTTGGAAAAGGATCGGACGTTGGTAGGCCTGTAGTCTATTATAGGGGCTAAACTATCACCGTGTATTGATTGCTTCCGCGTACCGAAAGAGCCCTGTGCATTGCTCTCAAGCTGAACTGCTGTCTTTCGGCACTCGATGTCTGTTACTGCACGACTGCTGCAATGTCTCTGTTTTGCTGACGCAGCCGCTCGGGCATGCGGCCCGTTGTTGATGCACGTGCGTAGCGCTTGTAACACACAGCTCTGTAAGCTGAAATGCCGGAGTCCAGTTAGCTAGGACAGCTACAATACTATGCCTGTGCATACGACCACGAAGATCAAGATTGATACGGAACTGACCCGTCAGCATGCCGTCATCTTATGACACGATGCCAATGCAATGGTACAGTACGACGTTGAAGCACGTCGCCCCCTTCTCCCCCACCCCCCCACCCCCGCTCCGCAAAACATGAACTTGGCACCCTTTCAACCACCTCAAGACGATTAGAAGACGCCGCATCAACGGCAGCAGTACGCCGTCATCGCGCGCCGGCACCCCCGGTACCTCACGCCCCCCCAAGAGGCGCGTTGGGGTCACCCCCACTACGAGCAGAAGTAGTGCAGTAGGGAAAAAGCGAAAGCTTCGAAGGCCGCGAAGCGGCCCCGGTTCCGTCTCCGGGGGGGGTGGGGGGCGTGGCGTGCAGGCCGTTGTGGCGAAGGGCGACATGGAGCTGGCTGAGATGAGCGAGATGATGTCGCTCGTGCTGGAGAGGTTGAGCGAGACCGAAAGAGAGCTGAAGAGGATTCAGAAGGAGGGATCCCTGGCCAAAACCAACAGGGTGAGTGGGAAGGGGGCTCGTGGGGAAATTTCGGGGGGTGGGTGGGGGGTGGGGGGCGTACTCTTATGTTTTGCATGCCTTAGCGGTTAGGTTAGACCATTGACCACGCGTCCTCGAGAGGATGGAGAGAACGGAGCATTGTTCTCACAGGACCGATCACCGATCGATGGCCAATCGTTCCTTCCTACCGGGGGCGGTGGGGGGGGGAGATATTTTTGAAGCAGTGCACATGATGTGACAGAAGACCCCCCGCGTGTTGCTTGTGAGAATCGGCGTATGTACATCTCGGCTTTTTGGGGGTGTAGCCGCACTGCTCGATGTGTCGAGTTTGATGGGCATCCGTGGGAAAGCCCGCGAGTCACTGCCAGTACTTCCAGATTCGACCGGTACTTTTCCTGGCCTCTTACGGAAGTAGATATGATCAGCAACGATTCCTAATTAGTGTGAAAATGTCAATCCGTGGAGATTGCTCCACCCTTCCGTATATCTACAGTATCTGGAAGAAGCAGGGGTTGGCAGTGCTCCAACTCGGCAGGGACACTGGTTTATACAGTATCATTTTCTGTCTAAAGGGCAGCCCCGCAACTTGATATCACTTGGCTCTAGAGGTTAAGCGAGCCTAGCCTGGTGGGCGAAGGCCCAGGGATGCGCTCGGTCGCTGCTCTTGCAGGGATGCCCCTTTAGGTCTTTGATCGAAGAGTACTGCGTGGGTATGTAAGCACGACTAAACCCCACACATCACGCGCGCCTGACACCAACTACCTAGGTTGGCACAGGTGTTGCATCCAGACTTGTAGGAGGGGTTGTAGCAGGTGTGACAACGCCTCCCGAAACATGGCCAAACCCCTCTTTGCTTTTTTCTGCCTGTCGTTCTTGCTGTCCCCGGTGCGTAAAGTCGGAGGTCAGGGACCGCAAGTTCATAATCGACACTCGCGCCAAGATGCTCGGGGCAGCGTTCGCCGGCAGCGTTGCAGGGATGATTGTCGGTTGGTGAGTCAGTCGATCGATAGGTAGACCCTCTCCTTGGCCAGGCTCGTGCTGCGCGGTGGGCGTAAGCAGGCCCCCTCGATACGCCACTGCTGTGCTTAGTACCAGCAGTGGTGCTATGCTACTGTGGTGCGAGCCCGTTCGTGCGGGTTGAGGTGTTTTTCTTCTTATTGCAATTTGTGCGAAAGCTAGAGGTGCACGGCCTCGATGGGAGAGAGACAAGAGAGGTAACCACATGACATGACATCGTCAAGGCCTTACGCTGCCGTCAAAGACGGGACGTATACATTTGCCGCCGACCCTTTCGTCTCCCGCTCTCTCCGTTGTCCCTCCTCTCTCTCCGTTCTAGGTCTGTGTTGCCAAACCTGTGGCTGGTGGGAGGTGTGACGGGAGCGCTGGCATTCGCGGCGTTATCTCGATCTTCCACGGGAACTGTGGGGACCATTTGCTCCACCTGCGGGATACAGGTGCCACTGAACTCTTACGGTTGTTCTTCTCAAGCCCTTGGCACGGCAGCGGTCTTACCTTGTAGGAGTAATATGCTTCTAGCGAAGGTCAACGACCGATCCGCGTTCCCTTGTCATGCAGGAACAGCAGTCCCGCTTTTTGGCGCGAGTTTCGTTGAATATCTGAGAGATTGATTGACGTTTCTTTCCAGTGAGGAGGAAGACGCTGTAAGGTGTTCCCGTTTTTCCATCAGGCAATCAGGTGTCTGGACGACCGTTAAAAAGACAACTAGGTTGACCAATAGGAATACTGCGGGTCTTTTATTGGCTTCCTCTCTGTGGACACATGCTCAACTGTCGCTTTTTTTCTCTCTTTTTCTTGCCATCGAGAAGGGGCCACAATAAGCGGTTGTGGACATAGCCAGGATCAATCGGCCCATTGGAATGGAAACGGCAAGATGATGAAGAAATTGAGAATGGCGTTTTTTGTTTGTTTGTTTCAACGCAGAATGAGAACATCGCGCCCGTATTGTTTTTTCTCCCCATTTTTTGTGCCATGAAAGGTGGCGTTGATGTACAAAGATGTACGAGACTGGTGGGAGCAGACGGTTTTCCTGTACAAAACCGGTGAGTCGAGGGGGGGGGGGGGGCGACTGATTGGTGCTGCCGAACTCATGTTGGTATGTATTCCTGAGGCGGGGAGCACACCCCATTGGGCATCGCTCGAGAAAACAGATGAGCGTGAATTGTACTCTGTCTTGTTTGTCTCCTATTTTTGTATGTAGTTTTGTTCTGTTCGTTCAAAGTTTTCTCATTTCTCTCTCTCCACCGCCCCCCCTCCCCCCCCCCCTCCTTCTTTTCCCTCTTTAATTTCTCCGATGCAGTGCAAGATGCCCCCAATGTCCACTCACTCCCTCTTAGCGTGTGTGTTTCCCACACTTGACCCAGTAAAAAAAAAATGCTTATGTTCGATATCTGGCATGAAAATACTGACAGTGAGCATGTTGACACACGAAATGAACCAGGCAAGCTGTCCTACACCTACTGGCGGGGTTTCGAGAGGTATGATCAGGCGTGGGGGCTGTCCGCCAAGTACACCGAAACCGTCGCCAAGGTGTCGAAGGAAGCTTTGGAGCTGGACCGACAGTACAAGATTAGACAGAAAACTCTCAGGTACAGTATATCTCCCTGCTTTTCTTTTCGTTGCCCTTACATACATACGCCTGGCAGTACAGGTGCTTTGTCGTTATATGCATCCGCTGGGACATGTGAATGTGTACTTTGTTTTGACATCACTAGGGGATGGATGTTTGTATGCGTACTTCGGTTGACATCACTAGGGGACCAACATTAGACGGGTCGTCTTAATTTTCCATGAGATAATGTCGGCTCTAGGAGTGAATGCGGTGGAATGTGGAGCCTCGATACCCGCCAACTGCACTGTATCCGAACAGTGCATCAGGGTACGCATATTTTTCGTGTATCGGGGTAACTAACGCCTTCAGCTTGACACCCGAAGGTTGCTCTTTTCTTTTACCATACCCATTAGTCGGCCCTATTGTAGGCGAGTAGGCGGGGGCTCCGCAGCAGTCTTCGTATGTTGGTCGGGGCCGACATGTTTGCTCGCGGCCGCGTGTCCCCGTTCGAGCGATTTCTTTCGCCCACACCACCACACAAGCGTTTATCTACTTTCAATCTCTTGGTGAGCAGCTCCTGCAGGCACGAGAGGAAGGAGAGTCCTGCCTTGCAAGAACCAACCAACCCCCAACACAGGGATTCAAACTTCGGACCCCCCGCGCCCTTGAACAGCAATACCACCCCCCCCCCCAAACGCCAGGATAATGGCCAACTTAGCCCGGGCCGCCGAAAAATCCCGACATTTCCCGGTAGCATTGCAAAGGATGCTACGTCTATGCCCTAACGACTACCGCATGCGTTTACATGAGCCCCCCCCCCCTCCCCCCCCCCTTCCCTACAGGGCCGGCAAACGCCTCACCAGGATCTCGCGGCAGGTGGGATCGTCCGCGAAGAGAGAGGTCACCACGCTCGCTGGCAGCGCCTCCGACTGGGGCGGCAACAAGCTTCGAAAGTGGGGGCTGATGGGAGACGACCTAGACCCACGTCGAAAGAGAACCAAGCTCACGGAGATCCTCAAGCTCAAGAAGAGCAAGGTGGGCGGCGCGAAACGGCCGCTGGGGGTCTCCGTTGTGCTGGACGGGATGTTCGGGGAGAGGAGCCGGTCCATGTACTCGGCGCCGCCTGCCGGGGGTACTAGGATCAAGACCCACAAGGCGGACCCCATAATACCGGTGAGAGGGGGAGAGGGAGTGTTGGAGTGCACAATGCCAGTATTTTTGTGCTTGATGCTCTTCGGTGATGACCTAGGGACTGCCGTTGGTTTGCAGCTGTACAAATACTATTGACCAGTGGCGTCGAGTATTCCAATAGTGAGAGTCATTTAGTTCCCATAAAACCGGTGAGAGGGGGAGAGGGAGTGTTGGAATGCGCAATGCCAGTATTTTTGTGCTTGATGCTCTCCGGTGATTGCCTAGGTACTGTTGTTGCTTACAGCTGTACAAGCTCGTGGTGTCCTTCTACCAAGTGCTGGTACCATTTGCTTTTGGTGGCGTTTGTTCAGGCCCGCATGCGGTACAATCAGCATGTCCTCCCCACAACCAGTATCTTTGATCACGACACCCCACGTTTGGTTGTCCTCTCCGGTTGTTTTATCTGTGGCGTTTTTTTCAGGCCCGCATCCGGCACATGATGGAGCTATTTCCGCATGTCCTCCCCAAGACGAGCAATTGGAAAATACAACCATTCACCCCCTTTGTTTCTTTGGTTGTCCCATCCCGTTGTTTCTTGCTTCTTGTGTTCGTTTTTTTCAGGCTCGCATCCGGCACATGTTCATGACCAAGAAACAGATCCGGGACGAAAGGCTGCAGAAATACCGCGTGGGATTCATGGGGATGCGCGTTCCGCGATCGTTCGACAAAGATGATTAACGCTAACTCTCACAGCTTTTTTTAACACGAAGAAAGGAGGCGGACGTACGTAGGCCTCGGGCAAAAGGGGTTCCGTCGTGTGTGTTTGTGAGAGAGAGAGGGGACCCCGACCAGAGCAGCCAAAAACGAGAAAGTGTGGGTCTAGCTGGTTGGTATGCAATGTAACGTACCGAGGCCTGGTTAGCTTGGGGGTATCGCTCCTCTGCCTCCGGCTATTTGTCAAGGAACCACGCCGCCTTGAGGTACAGTGTTGAGCCCTTGCTGGAGCGTGTAAACGCGGGGGGGGGGCGTTGAAGCAATACGATGGTCGTATTTTCTTTCAGTGTATGTCGCCGTGTCGATAATGTTTTGTTACTGCTGTGCCTTGAGATTAGAACCAAAGAAAGCACGAGGGAGCGAGGGAGGGAGGATGTAGAGTGTGTTGTGTGTGGTGTTACTCTCCGACCTTTTTGAGAGAAGCCAGGACAGAGGGACACAATTCTCTCTTTTTGTTGTTGCGGCGGCGGTGGTGGTTGCATCTCCCCCCCGCCTTCCCCCCTGCTACCCTTCACAGAGGGAGTGGTTTCTCTTTTTCATTTTATTCCTGGACAGACGGTTACATCGTCCAAGAATGCCTTCATGTCCTAGGTGCAGCGACAGGGTTGTCCGGGTTCCTTCCCTTTGATCAGTTGATCATGATCAGTGGGGTGATGACCAAGAATGGGTCTACGGGGGTGCGTGTGCAAGATGTACGTTTGTGGTTGGTGCGTCTTTTACCTTTTTTTTACGGGTTCCTTTTTGTTTTTTTCTTGCATGGATTTATTCGGTCGAATACCACACACTCACGTCTGTCTCTCCACACAATCGCAAACTTGAGGGCCCGCACCGCTGTAAAAATCGTCTGGAGGTGGGGGCTGGCATGCTGCAATACTTGGTATGATGACTTGCCGTCCTTCTTGCCGGGGGGGACGTTTTTCTTGTCTCCCACCTGCGGGGCCCCCTTCGGGGCGGTTTTTTTTAATGCAGCTGTTCTCGCTCATAAAAGTATATTAGCGAGAACGCATGTACTACTGCTGTAGTAGTTGACAGGCAGGCAGGTCCCTTGAGGGTGGTCTGCTGCGCGGTGAGGTCGGGGCTCGTTTTTTCCCTGGGGCGCGCACGCGTGCCCGCGCTATAATACGATCGTACGTGTAGCCTACTGGGGGGTGTAACGGGCGTAACGTGGGGTCTGTTGTCTGTTCTGTGATGACCCCTCTATGTCGCAATAACAAAAGGACGATAGGTTTCGCTCGTGTAGGGGCCGGGTATTGGTCCAACGAGTTTTTTCATATTTTACTTGTATGCGAGGAGAGGGGTTCCGGTACGTGCTGGGTAGGTGTAGGGACCGAATCCTGGTCGTCACGAGTTACTCATGTTTGTATGTGTACGCATAGGAGAGGGGTTCCGTTTATGCTGTGGTGGGTGTTCCCTGCCGAGTTCCTGCCATTTCTTGGGGATACTGAGAAAAATGCGGTGACAGATTTGATTTTCGTTTCTTGTCGAATCGTGGGCGGAAAACTGTTGTTGTTATGTCATTATCTAGCGGACCAAGCTGTCCTGCGATGCGCAGGCGTGTTGTTGTTGTTGTTGTTGTTGTTTACAGCAGACGGGGCTAGCTTTCGTAGCGCGTGATGCATCCGCGAGACGACGATGTAAATAGTCCAGACTATGATACATGCAACACCTTGTTCCCTCTCAAAGATCAACATGACTGGTTATTCTCGCTTAGCTCAACGGGAGAGGGCTGTTACAGTTCGACCTGGTTGCCGTCCTCGTTTCAAGGGTTTTTTTGAAAGTGGAGAAGCGCCCAAAACCTATCCTCCCCCTAATGCTATTGTATTCTGTGGGGCAACGCGCTTCTGAAAAACATCGTTTCCTGAAAGCGGGCACGACTGTATGGGCAAGAGTAGAAGCAGTGAACATCAAGTTATCGGCACGGCCTCTCCAAGAGATTCAACCAGACCAGCTCGAACGCTTCACAGGCAATGAGCCATGCCAAAAAGAGCACCAAACAGGCAACAGTCCTAGCATGCTCCGCAGCTACTCTAGAGGTAATCGTCCTCGCCAGACGTTGGGGAGAGTGTGCCCGTTTATGAAGGACATCTGTCTCCACACAAAGGGCCAAACAACAAAACCCAGTGGGGCCTCTCGGCCTCGGGTCAAATCATCCTCAAGATGCCCACACCCACCATCTCAACAAGGGTCACAGCATGCTTCCCTCGATGGCAGGACCAAATGGGCTTTGGCCTGCCTGTCTCCTGCAAACCAACGGGGCGGTAAGGGGAGATCACGGCGCGGGCACCACGGAGTTGTAGTGGGAGCCGAGGGCGTAGTAGTGCTCGTGGTACGTGAGAAGCAGAGGCGGCCCGTCGTAGCCCTGTCCCAGCAGCAGCGGTGGGGACATCGCCGAGAAGACCTCCATGGGAACTCGCAGCGCACTGCACAAAGCCTGGAAGGGCAGCAGCAGGAAATAATGTTTTTGTGCATTTATGTTGCCCGAGGTCCATCATTCATCAGCAGACAAAAGGTAGACAATTAATACACTAATATATTATACCGTTATAATACTGGTATGAATCCATCGCGTGAGTGTGCTCGTCCCGGTCTCTTCCTGCCCGTGGATGTGTAAAAGTTTTCGCCCCATTTATTGGCGCCAGTCAAGACCTTTCGGCATGTCTACAGTATAGATGGAGATAAATCTTGTTCTTCTGTTCTACCATATGCATAGATTGAGATTTAATCTTTTTGCGTTGTTGCTGTGTAAAACGATAGACGCCAGGGCTGTCCGAAACGATACTACCCGCCACAAATACGAAAAATCGGAGGTGGGATGGGGTTAAGAAAAAGTTGTCCTTCCAGACGAAGGCGTCCTCGAGACAAAAAAAACGGACGGCAGCTGTTGAAAATCGACATGAAATAGTTCAAAAACAACTTCTGGACCCTTCTAAAAAAAAAAAAAAACATGAAGATGACATCCGCCACTGAGGATAGGCGGCGGCGGCGGGAGGGGGGGGGGGGGGGAGGGGGGCGTACCCCTTTGTTGGTTGCCTTAATCATTTGACCATTGACCCCCCGTCCCTTTCCAGAAGGAGGGGGGGGGGGGGGGGGGGGGGGGGTTACCTATAGCCGGGCGGGCGCAA